AATGACCAATCTTATTTGGGCTTGGAAGAGAAACAGTCTCAAGACTTTAGACAGAGGATGGTTTGAAAAGTTAGGAGGGAAAAAAAACACAAACGTGTCAACATTTCCATGTTATTACCAGTAATGCGAGCTGGATTAGATGTTCCTCATGCGTCCAAAAAACAAGAAGTCATATCCTTATTTGGCTTGAGACAAGTGAGCAAGGAATAAAGAAATTGTTTCTGGAATAGAAATCTCTTCCTGCACTCTCCCTACCCCCAGCCCATATTTTTAAAAGGCTGTGAGTATCTGTTACTACACAAAGTTACACCCACATTCTATTTGTGTGAATTTCCAAAATCCTTCCATTCCACAATGAACACACAATGAATAATCTGATGGATTCTAAAGTACTACATTTTTTACTTTGTTTTAACCATGGATCCAGTATGCTACCGGTTCGGCCCGGTTCAGTCAATCCGGTAGCAAAAATTCCAATTGGTTCAGCTGAACCGGTAGTTAAAAAAAACTCTGATGATCAGTTGAGAGGATAAATAAGAGAAAAGCACAGGATCGGCCCTCCCACCCACCCCTGCGCTTTTCTCTTCTTTATCCTCTCACCTGATTGGTCCTCAGCTGGTGTGGGGCAAGCTGTGTGTACGCATTAGGTGCACGTGTGTTAGGTGCATGCACACGCCCACGATCAATGAACCGGTAGTGGAACAAGTCAGATCCCACTGCTGCACGGTTCACTTGTGTCATGTAAAACAGTGGTAGGAAATCCATTGTAAAGTTGTAGCTGCCATTTTGACTTTTTTAACCATCCTGCCCCCAGGAACCTCCTGATTCCAGTCATTGGTTTTAAATGGTGCCACAATAACATTTTCATAACAGACTGCATATGTAAATCAGTGCCATCTTTTCTTTATATCTGTATTTCCATTCCTTCTGATTTTCTATTATGTCTTTAATAAATTGCACAATTCAGTTAGTTCTCATTTTCTTTTAATTTTCAGTTCTTCAATAAAGCTCTCATCTCAAATACAGGATTTTCAAAACAAACGTAAGAGACACTCAGGCATAGACACTACATTCATTTTTAGGATCCAGGCCCTGTTGACAAGGAATTTATGACTGAAGTTGGATTTTACTCTGATACTACTTTTGTAGCTCAACTGTAATCAAGTTCTTATCTCCATTACAGATGCCACCAACTTTTAGCAGTTTTCTGGGTCTGTAAAATAGTTGTAAGCTGTTAAAATAAATGATGGCACAACTGTTGTTTTGTTTTGTCACTTCTGGTGAGCAACAGACCAGACCAATTATGCTATTATGCCACAAAAATAAGGATAGAATTCTTGGTCAACTCTGTAGACATTCTTGTCAACTCTGGAACCAATCTCCAAAGGGGAAAAGCCAACTATTTTGGGGAACACCATCTATGTGTGGAAAAGATCAGCTCTAATTCTGCATTTCAGCTTAATTCAGTGAAATGCATTCCCTGGTAGCTCAGAAATAAGAATGGAGCACTCAACATCTACAAAACAAATGACAAATTCACTTCTTGTTTTGCTTTGAATTATGGGGCTATTTCTGAGGAACAATGCAGACTACCAAGCTCCATGTAAACTGGAAGGATGAAAGTCAATTTAGGAATATTTGTTGCCCCTACTGGCTAAATTATAAACTCTGGAAAACAGGCATCCTTGGTGGCCACTGAGATGCTCACCTGATTTTTTTAGGTGACCATCTTCAAAACAGAGAATTCCTCTTAGGCAAACCTTGATGGAATTAAGGTAATATAGAATTATTAAAACAGAACTGCCAGTCAAAAGTATTCTGGAACTCTTCCACACTTAGAATAAGGGAAGATACATGAAAATAAAAACTGGCACACCAAAATATTTACAGGCTGTGTTCCCACAATATGCTTAAACCTGGTTGACTGATAAAGTTAACCATTTTCTTGATTTGAACGATAGATTGAACCATGGACTAAAAATAGATTGTATTAATCAAGAAACAACTATTTAATGTAGAATAACAATAACCAAGCCTGTATTTCTTAGGTAAATTCAGTAAAGGGCATCCTTGATCAAGCTGCAAAAATCTAAGCGACCACAAGATGGCAAGAAAGAGATAAGAAGTTTATGTACAGGGCTCCTGCCATCCAGTGGTCAGTTTAATCTTTGCAGCCCAGAAATTAAGCTATGACACCCTAAGATTAAGATGATCTGAGAAGTTATTTTATCCAGATATATAGAAAGGAAAAAGGTTGATGAAAAGGTTGATGAAACGAACAGTCAGTCCGTTCATATAATCCTTCTTCTTCGCCTTCTCCCTTTCCTCCTCCTCCTCCTCCTCCTTCCCCTTCCTTCCTTCTCAAATTCTTGCCAAGTTCTCCAACAAGCTTTCCTTTTTTTGCAAGCCCTCTGGAGTAAGTTTTCAATCGAGTTTTTCCCTTTCAAAGCATAAAGGTTGATTTTTATTCAACCTTCTTGGAATAAGGTTTTAATTTAGACCATCCTTAGAGCTAAGAAAAATTGCCATAAGTGATTGCCTGGCAATAATTCGAAAAAGACCAATTTTAAATCACCGTCAACTCAAGGTCATCACTTTGAAAGGTATGAAGACTTGATCAGGCAGTGTGTGAATAAAATTTATTTATTATTCCATCAATCAATCACACCTTCATCATGGTTCTGCATACGTTAACAAAAATTGCATAGTTGTTACTTTCATTACTTTCAGTGGATTGCTCTGAATAGCTAACAATTTAATGCTCATTTATTCTTATATTTCTGACCTGACTATGAACATGTGGATGCACCTCTGTTTCTTCCATGCTTTGGTGCTTTCTAAACCGACACAGTGATTAACAGAGCAAGAAAAACTGTGCTTTTTCCATATGAACTTTAAGTTGTCAACCCTAACAGCCTAAAAGACTTTCAGGAGGCGTATATGCAAAATACTTTGCTCATAACCCATAACCCACTGCCCTGCTCTTCTGAACTGAAATAAAGCTCTCCAGCACTAGGGTTGTAAAGGACTCTTGGGAAATCGCTTAGAAGCAGACCCCAAACTGAAATGTCATCTAGATCAGGGAGTCTCCAACCTTGGCAACTTTAAGACTAGCGGGCTTCAACTCCCAGAATTCTTCAGCCAGCTTTGTGGAAGTCCACAAGCCTTAAAAGTTGCCAAGGTTGGAGACCCCCTGATCTAGAGGAAATCATATTTCCCCAGCAATAAAATACTTCTGAAAGGCAAATTGAAGTGCTACTTTGAAAAAGATGAGAAGTGAATGGCATTTTTGCCTCCCTACATAACTATCAGGTAGGAATTCTGTAGCACAGCAGCATTTCATTTAATAATTCCTCATACATCACCATAAAATTTAGGTTTATCCAACACAGTTGGAGTAAATTCTGAAAAACATACTATCTGGCATCATAGAACATAAAAGAATAGGGTTGGAAGGGACCTTGGAGGTCTTCTAGTCCAGCCCCCTGCCCTTGGCAGATCCTATACAATTCCAGATAAGTGGCTAATCAATCTCTTCTTCAAAATCTCAAGTGATGAAATTCTGTAGAGAAGCTCCAGGAGTCGTGAATGCTTCATCACTGGAGGCCTATGGAGATTCTCCATCCTCCAGGTCTTGGTTGTCCCAAAAGTGTATTTTCAAGAGGCAACTGGACTTTCTGGTTTTTCTTTGAAGACATTTCACTTCTTGCCCAAGAAGCTTCTTCAGCTCTGACTGGATGGCGGGGAATGGAAGGATTTAGATTCCTTCCAGACAGCTGGTCATTTGCATCCTTTTAGAGAGAGTTGTTGAGGCCACTTGGATGTTGCTTCCTTCTCAAAGGATGCAAATCAGTGGTAGGATTCAAATCATTTAACAACTGGTTCTCTGCCCTAATGATTTCTTCCAACAACCAATTTACCAAACTGCTCAGAAAGTTAACAACCCGAATTCTCCCGAAGTGGTGCGAGCTGGCTGAATCCCACAACTGATGCAAATGACCAGCTGTCTGCAAGGAGTATAAATCCTTCCAATTGTCCACTATCCAGTCAGACCTGAAGAAGCTTCTTGGATTAGAAGTGAAACATCTTCAAAAGGAAAAACAAACAAACAAGAAAGTCCAGCTGCCTCCCGAAAATAAACACCTTTGGGACTCCAGTGATGAAAAACAATAGAATACAATGATAGCATTCTTCATCTAGATCAGGGGTGTCCAACCTTGGCAACTTTAAGCCTGGAGGACTTCAACTCCCAGAATTCCCCAGCCAGCTAGATTTAGGTGAATTCTTAATATTCCTCTTAATTTGATATTCTTCGGTGTGAAACATTGAATAACTGAAAGCTCATGAGTGAAATCCTTTGACACCAGTTATGACCTTTTGCCGTTGAAACTTTTGGCTTTGGCCATATTGCCAACATAGGGGTTATTTCATTTAAAAGACCCTCTTGGTTTTGTCTCTGCTTGCTTGTTGATCATACTAAAAGACAAACAATGGCTTCTTGGAAGAAAACAACAACCTCTAACTTTTGTTGAACCAACAAGAATATTGCCTAGAAAGTGGTGAGCAATAGCCGAGAGGCCACGAATTCTGGTGACTTCCGAAGGATAAACCATGTGCTGTGACATGGCATTAAGCCCTCCCTTTGTGTACTTGTATCCCAATGATGCCTGCAAATTAAAAAAAGGGGTGGAGCTCACATCCAAATGTTGCAACGTGGTTTATCCCCTTGAAGGATGATGCTAACATCACGGGCCCTCATTGTAGCTTTGGCTGCAAACACAGGGTGCCCAAGAGCCTATTAAACATTATTTTCCTCGTATTTTACAGCCCACCATTCACAGCAACCTGGGGGATGGGGGGGTGTTTAAAAATAAACCACGGTCAAAGGATAGGAATAGAAATGCTTACTTTGGAAGAAAATATACATTTTACAAAATAAATTAAATATACACGATTTCCGCTTAAACTCTATATAGAATTTGTTTTTTTTAAACTTTATGTTTTCTTTCTTTCTTTTCTTTTCTTTCTTTCTTTCTCTTTCTTTCTTTCTTTTCTTTCTTTCTTTTTTAATTGAATCTGCCTTGACTCCATTTTAATATGGTCACATTTTGCCTGTTTCTTCCCTCAGAACTGAAGTGAAATATGCGTGAATTTAGCAAGATGCATCTTCTCTCTCTCTCTCTCTCTCTCTCTCTCTCCTTGCAAGTCATATTACAGAAATGAATTTGTTCCTGAGAAAGAGGACATTCTGTTGGTTTCGAGACACTTCAGCTTATTATGTGACAGCTTATGCCACGAAGAAGTTTTTCTGCTGTAATCCATGAAAATTGGATGAGGAGGGCTTACACCTCATGTAAGGGAAGAATACTAGGCTGGGGTGGGAACATGGAGGACCTCAGAAACCCCCCAAGATGTTGGCCTTCCTTGACATGGTGGCTTCAAGCAGGAGACCAAGGCCCATGTCTATTGAAGGCTTCCATCTTGGCTTTTGTGAACCCCCCCATATCCCTGCAGTCCACCCTCACACTAAATTCCCCAAAAAGTCAGCAGTTCCAGTTAATCATCATCATCATCATCATCATCATCATCATCATCATCATCATCATCATTTATCAAATCAGCTTGATCATAATTAAATATAAATATAAAAGTGAGCTATATATTGTTCTTCATTTGGGAGGGGGCCAAGGGTGGGCTTTCCATGGTTTTGCAGGAAGGCTTTCTAGAGATTGAGGAGTTTGGTTATTGCTAACTTATAAGGCAGCCTTTCTTGGCTTCACAACTTTGGAACGCACTGCCCCACAAACACACGCACACACGCAACACACACGCAACACACACACTCATCCATCCATCCATCTTCTTGGTAAGGCCACTCAAATGCTTCCCTTTGGGCATTGGCACTTTGGCGTTGTGCTGCTTGCTTGAAGGAGAAACGGGGTTGGGTTGAATCATCTTCTGACCTTGTAAGGTTAGCAGGCATCTGAACCAGCTTTTATCCAAGATAAAGCGGGCTCCTTAAAGGAAGCCATCTGGGAATTCCTTCATTACTCCTGGGTCACAGTAACAACACACCCTGAACAAGACACCGTGTTTTGTTGGGTTGTGTTGGGTTATTTTGCCCCACATCCCCGGCAGTTTCCGCTGATCCAAAGTGAATCCTCATTTCCATGTCACGCAATGTTCTAAAATGGCGGCCTTTTTAACACGGGTAATGGATGTGCTGGTGTTGGTGTACCTTGCCTTCCACGTGTGAATGGGTGTGTGTGTGTATGTCCGTATAAATCTTAGGGTACATTTTGGAAGCCACGCTGGAAGACAGGACTGGCCCTTGGGTCAGCAAGTGTTGCTGCTGGGCTACATATTCCTCATAGTTTATGGAGGACAAGCAGTCTTTATCGGAGACCTGGGTTGTGCAAACTCGGTCTCGAGGCTGTGTCCTGTGTCCTGGAGTGGCAGCTGGAGGAGAACATGGCTTCTTCTTGGTTTGGCAAAGCCAGAGGACAATCGTCCCAAAGATGAAGACAGCGCCAGCTGGGATCCCAATGATGACAGGCCATGGTAGGTTGCTGGCCGAAGAAGGGGCCATCGGTTGGCTCGGGGACTTGGGGTCTGTGTGATAGGAAGAACAAAAAAGGGAGGAGAAGAAGAAGAATTAGAACCAGGCCAGGAAATGTCAGAGTAGCCGGCTGGTGTTGGGCCTCCACCTCCCTGAATGGTCTCTTATTTTGGCCTCTTTCTTTAAGCCATTTCAAAGCAGGCCCTGAGATGGCACTGAAGAACTTGAACGTATTCAAATATTTTACTAGTTTATACAAAATATACAGTACAGAAGAACAAAGAAAAAATGAAAATAAAGGGAGGAAAAGGGGAAGGGGAAAGAGAAGAAAAGCATTGACTTCTAATTCCTTCTGGTTCAGTAGAACAGGGGTCTCCATCCTTGGCCACTTTAAGACTCGTGGACTTCAACTCCCAGAATTCCTCAGCTAGCAGACCAGGGGTCTCCCACCTTGGCCACTTTAAGATTGTGGACTTCAAGTCCCAGAGTTCCTCAGGAGTTGAAGTCCACAAGTCTTAAAGTTGGCAAGGTGGGAGACCCCTGCAGTAGAATAAAGTACTAACAAAAAAAACCCCCTCAATTTTTAAATTTTATATAAGAATATATACTAGCCGTTTTTATAACAACAAACCTATCTAAACAGCAAAACCTAACATCAAAGTTTCATTTCTCCCCCCCACCCCACCTCAAGCACAAAGTACAGATGTGGTTTCCAAGTAGAAACAACATTTTAATTGTGCTCTTTTCTTTAAACAAAGAATTTTGCCATCTCTGCTAACTCCATTCATCCGTTGTGGGAATCAAAATACCCTTCTACTTTTGAAGGATTTAGAAGAATAACTGGGAAACCAGAGAACTGAACTGGAATTATCTGATCAGGACAAATGCCACTTGGCTTAATGCGTCACCAAGTGGTTTTTTTTTCATGGGCATTTTGTAAAGGCAAAACTGCCAACGGAAGGCAACCAGTTTTCTGCTCGGTTGCTGGGTGGGCGTGGCCATGGCCATGGTGGGCGTGGCCTAGTCAGCCTCCTGTCGCCCAGTGGAGGGGCTGTTTTCGCTCTCCACGGGCTCCAGAGGCTTCCTTTTCCCCCTCCAGGAGGGGGAAAACGGTCTCCCCTGGGCTCCGAAGACCCTCCGGAGCCCAGAAACGGGCCCATTTCTGGCCTCCTGGAACTTCCAGGAGGCCTGTTTTTCACCCTCCCCGGGCTCCAGAGGCTTTCCTTCAGCCTCTGGGAGGGCAAAAACGGGCTCCCCTGGGCTCCAGAGGCTTTCCGGAGGCAGGAAATGGGTCCTTTTTTCACCCTCCCTGAGCCTCCACGTGGTCTCTGTACTTACCTGGCATCCAAAATGGACCGCATGGGGACTCCTGGGAGGGGAGGAGTGGGCAGGGTGAGCCAGGGGTGTGATTTACTGGTTCACCGAACCAGCAATTAAAAATAATAAAATGAATTACCGGTTCGCCTGAACCAGGGTGAACCGGGAGCAGCCCACTCCTGCTGCCAACCTTTCTGGAGTAGTTGTGGAGACACCAAGGTGCACCAAAGTCTTCACACATAAAAGAATGTTTCGTGTATTCTGAACTCAAGGGAAACCACCTGGTTCAGGCAGTATTGTTTTCAAGGTCAGAAGAAAACGTGTCTTACATGCAAACCGGAATCCCAAACCTACAACAGTAATTTGTTGGGTTTGCGGTTGAGATGAGAAGCTCCTTTAACCCATTCTTTGCCTTACACTTCTCATCACTAAATACAATCAAGTCTATTCTAAATATTTTTGCTTGTCATAACTACACTCTTTGGAACCTATGGAAGAAAAACATCTGGTTGTGTTACTTAGAACAAGAAACAGGTAAGGAAAGGAAGGGTTAAGTCTCTTTTTCAATCCAAACAAATCTAGACCTCTTTTCACCAAATGAGATGATTGTTCAAGGCCACACACAGGGGCTTGTGTGCAATTTGTAGTTTGGCCCTACAGCCTTGGTCCCAGTCAGAGCAGAATCAGAATCAGACGGACACCAGATTTGTATGTACAATCCACCTCAGCTCTCAGAGCCCAGAGAAACAGAAATGTTCCCATTATATTCTGCCCCCCCCACCATGTATGGGGGGAACTGTCTTTACATCTAGAGGGGTGGATAGCCAGATCAGAGGTAGATAGCCAGATGTTATTCCATGGGGTTCAAAGCCTTTGCCATCACTTGATCCAAGGATCTGGATCACGCCTGCCTTGGTGCACTATATATAGGTAAAGGTTCCCCTGCCACATATGTGCTAGTCATTTCTGGCTCTGGGGGGGGGGGGTGCTCATCTCTGTTACGAAGCCAAAGAAGAGCCAGTGCTGTCCGAAGACGTCTCTGTGGTCATGTGGCCAGCATGACTAAATGCCCTGGGTCATCACACTGGAAATGGTAAGGAGCCAACCCGTGTCAGTTCGGCCAGGCCCAACCAATCCTGGTGTGCATGCATGCACACAGGAGGTGGACAGACACTCATACAGGCCCAGCCCACGCCATCCTGGCAGGCGCACATGTGCATGGGAGGTAGCCGGGATGGCGGGGGCAGTGCCTGCATGCACAGGTAACCACTGACTCCTCCCCACTGCCATTGGCCTACAGAGGACAACTACAATGCTGATCCAACCCACAAATAAATCAAGTTTGACATCCCTGAACTCCATAGAAGAAAAGAGTCAATGGGGAATAGATCGTAAGAAACATCTCACCTGGTAACACGGTAAGAAATGCACTTCGGAAGCTGTACCCCATGGTGTTTGCCCCTAGGCAGATGTACATGCCGGCATCTTCTTCCTTGGCACGCGCGATCATAAGTTTGTTCAGGTAGGAGCCATCCGGACGGGACCAAACATCTCCAGTGGGTAGCACCACAAACTTCTGCCCGCCGACATCGATGGTGGAATTGTATCTGCTCTCCGTGCCGTACTCCACTCTCTTCAACCACTGGATCACCGGTTTCACGTCACTCCTCACCTTACACTGGAATGAAGTTGTTCCTCCATAGTCCACAGTTGTGTTCACAGGGTGCGTCCCGGTAAGAATGGGTTTGGATCGTGTCCTCTCTAGAAATAAACACAAATGTTCTCTTCATTAAGAGTGGTCTAAACCTTGCATATGATACAGAATAACAGTGTTGGAAGGGACCTTGGAGGTCTTCTAACCCAACCCCCTCCTTGAGCAAGAGAACTTATGCCAAATGGTTGTCCAACCATTTCTCTTCCTGAAAACCTCCAGGGACGGAGCGCCCACAACTTCTAGAAGCAAGCCATTCCACTGATGAATTGCTCTCAGTGCCAGCGTTTAGTCCTTCTCTAAATGCTAAAGAAACCAAAGGGATCCAGAAACAAAAAAAAGAATCCTCAAGGCTTGTTAATCTTCTGTAGGATCAATTAATTGAGGGTGATGATTTAAGGGTGTCAGGGTGATGATTTAAGAGCTGACCAGCTGCTACGATGATGTAATGCTGGGAATGAGTCAGCAAGGTTTTTGGGCTGATGTCCCTTTAAGAGCCTATATTAAGAAGAGGCCCCGTTGGGGTTTATCTCTCTCTCCCTGTGTGCTTCCCTGCTGTAATTGATGATTGCTGTTTGTTTGAGGTCTGACTAAAGCACACGTGTATATATATTCTTTGTAGATAAAACCACTATTTAAAATACAAGCCTCTGTTTACTATATTTGCTCCTGGGTTGTCTCACGTAGCCACACTGTGCACACTCTGACAAATCCACACAATCCTTTCTAAATTAGAAGCTAGTATCATTTGATTTTTTTAAAAAACACATAGCAACTTTTAACTGGCATCTGCATAACCAACCTGTCTTTCTCTCCCCTGCCTCATGCATTGAATGAGAAGAATTGTAGTTCACACAATTTCATATTTCTTAATTTAAAAAAAAAAAATCTATTAATCCCACCGATTCTTACTTGGCAGCAAGACCGATGGCAAATTCAACATGGACTTGCTGGTGAAAATAGTTCTGCTTCCTCAGGCATGATATTCCGCTCTGGAAAAAAAATCGGGGGCGGCCAAAAGAGACCCCCCGCCGCGTGCCCGGGGAGCGCCCGCTGCTTTCCCTCGCCGGGGCCGGGCGGCGGCGTGTTGCACGGAGGCTGGTCTGTGGCTGGCCCAGCTCCCTTTTCCTGCCGCTCAGCGGCCTCCGCTCGCACCGCCCGGGCTCCGCTCAGGTATCCGGCTGGGGCTGTCAGGAGTTGCTACCGCCGGCGCAGCTCCACGCGGCTCCAGTCCCGCGTTGCCTCGGGAAGGGAAAGGCAAAACCAGAAGCCGCTGCTGCCGTTGCAAAGCGCCGCCGCGGCTCTTCCTTTTTCCCTTTCCCTTCCTGAGGTAACGCGGGACTGGAGCCGCGCGGAGCCGCGCCAGCAACTCCTGAGTGGGGAGGGCGGAGGGGGGGGGAAGGGGGAGAAGAGGGGGTGGGGGGAAAGGAGGGGGCGATTCCCAAAAAAATCAGAATTCCGATTTTAATCGGAAGAATATCATGCCTGTTCCTGCATATTTGGTAGGGGGAGTTCCCTCAGGGACCATAGTTCACCTGATATTTGAAATGAAAACCAGAAGAGATCTACTGAGAAGAACTGCAGGGCCATTGCAGCAGTGGTGGATTTTCAAAAAATTCTCCTACCATTTCGGTGAGTGCGCACAAAGCATTTGCTGATGACCTTCTCCAGCAATCCCTGTGTGGGAAACAGCTGATGCAGGGCAGTTCACTGTGCTGCGCCAATTAGCTGAGCTTGAAAAACAAGGTATAAAGCACAGCCTAGAGCCCGGACGGGCAGGTGAGCCAAACAGCTGATCGTTGGAGCAAACTGAACCGGTTCGCTCTCAGTTGATCCTCGGAGCTACCGGATCACCCAAACCCGGCCGAACCAGTAGCATACCACCCCTGCCTTGCTGTAAAGAACACAGATCCTGTCAACTGCACCAAAATGAACATGGAAAAAGTGAGAATCAACTCTGGGAAAAGCCACATTTTGACAGGAAGGTGAACCAGACAAGAGCCCAGCAGCTCAGACCAAAAAAACCCAACCAAACAAACAGCCAGAACATTGGACAATAAATCTCTTCTGTATCCCTTAGGATACACGGAGGGTAATCAGCCTTCAAATCTCCTTAATAGCAAAAATCTGGCAATATATGCCTCTTTCTGGAAAAGTTTGAACAAAAAGACTGCTATCCTTCTCTCTCTCTCTCTGGAAGGGATCGAAAGATAAATGGGAAGAGCAGAGCTGTGACCGACGCCCGCCTGGTTTCAATGAAGGAGGAAAATGCTACATGCTACATCCTACACGGAGCTGAGATTTGATTCATTTCCTTGTTTCGGCTCCTGGTTTTAATGCAAACACATGTTTTCACTGCTCCGCACAGCTGCAGTCTTGATCAGTCCCAGATGTGGGATGGTCTTGTATCATCGATTCACAACGGGGATCCCTTTGCATGTGCTTTTCATTCACATTTTTTTTTCATGTAGCTGAAAAAGCAGAGCCTTTGATGGGGCTGCTTTAAGTCTTCTGATCGGAGAGGTTGGCCTTGGAGAAGAACGTACGGGCAGTCCTTGAATTACCAACATCTGTTTAAGGACCGTTCGACGTTACAACAGGAATGAAAAAAAAGAGACGTATGGCCATTTTGCACACTTACGACCGTTGCAGTATCCCCATGTCATCACTCTGCTAAACAACTAATTCCCACAACATTGTCAAACTACCTAATAGGTATGCATTACTATTATCCTTCTCATTTTTCCTGTTACCTATTTCCTGGTCTTAGGATTATAACTTTGTTGCTCGTATCTTATGATTTATATTCATTGTTTTCTTTAGTACCCTAGTATGATTTATGTTGATGGCTTATTTGCTATCCTATGACTGTCCCTGAGTGTTGCATCTTATGGTTTATGATGAATGTATTTTTATGATGATGATCATGATTTATCACTTGTTGCTTGTATGTACACCCAGAGCTTCTGCATCGGAGACAAATTCCTTGTGCCCCATCACACTTGGACAAGAAAGAATTATATTCTCTTCTCTCCTCTCCTTTGTTCTCCCATCCTCTCTTCTCTTCTCTTCTCTTCTCTTCTCTTCTCTTCTCTTCTCTTCTCATCCC